CGACTGTTGGCTTTGATGCCTCTAGCAACAGCCTTTTTATTGACTGGTGCGTATTTTTCTGGATTGCTCCGCGACTAATTATTTCCTAACCAGTTCACTACACTTAGAGAAAAGGCAAGACGGGCATATAACCAGATTGTGACCAGTACCATAAGTATTGGAACTCTGCGCTGGCTGCTGAAGATGAAGACTGAGCACGCATGGGAATTCCCCTAGTGCTGTGATGTCAATTCTCACTACTCGGCACAGAACCAATGTTAAATTACACACGACAGCAACTCGAATAGTTTGCAAAATTAGAGAGAAAGCCTTGTGATGCCATACCATACAAGGTATATGTCGTATGGCAGTTTTGTCGCGCACCTTTACTTACGGAATATTTTCACAAATCCCTCAGGACAGGAGTGTATTGAATGGTGGCTCTCGTTCGTCTAGAGGCCTAACCCTCGGTTCAAACTTTCCATTCAACCTGTCTCAGGGATGAGGTGACTCGAGCTCTGACTCCACAGGGTTATTATGAACACTTGGGTACCTCTCGGCCAGACGTCCTCATCACTAATTTGCTCCCAGACTGGTAACAATGTAAGACAGTCAAACAAGTAAACAACAGTGATTATGACAGGACGTGAATACCTTTCTAACTATGACAATTAATTCACCACAGTGATTTAGCTAAGAACAGCAAGACTGGTAAACTATAATTGAACTGTATTAATAACTTCGTAACAAGAAAGATCAAAAGTAGCACGAAGAATCAAATGAAAGATTGTTGAATTCTCTAAAGAACAAAGACAGAGAAAGAGACTTCCTCCTAATCTACGTCTCTTTTCGGTATCATCACAGCTGAGGAGTAGGACAGATTATAAAGGCCCATTTGGAATCAAGCTGCCTCGGATTGTCACTCTGACTTATCTGTTTAGATCTTGTAGCTCCTCAGGATGCCGGAATGGAGTTTTAGACCACCTCACTTCACACAACGACTACACAAGAACGATGCGGCTTCTGGAATTGTTCAAGGACGATCAACTCGAGATCGGAGGATGTCGACTCTAGTACCGTCTACACATTCAGCAACAGCAATTCACCACACGTCAATTGCTTCTTGGGTGTTGGTAGGTGGAAGCATTCAGTTAGACCACGGACGCTCGTTGGATCTTCAGAAATCCTGAAAAACACAAGGCAACACCCATGAGCGAACCGTACCCAACGCACGTAGTTAATCAATGTCCTTACCACCTCCTCATGCTCAGATATACTTGAGGTTAGTCCAAACCATGAAGGTTGGCTACCTCTATCTTGGAATCCATTCAGTTTCCCAGAGTGAGCACTAGATCATTAACTCGAATAGTTTCTGAATTCAGTCCTGTAGCGAAAGCCAGACGGATCTCCATTATTTCCCATCCCTTTTAATATACCTTTTTCACTAATTGGAAAGATAAGGTATAGGAGATGAAGTCAAAACTAAGATCGAAGGAAATATGCTTCGCAAGTAGTACGACAGTCTAAGCTTGTTGTGGTTACGAAGCTCCTAGCAACAGCGGATATGACGTCATGCCTAACCCGAAGCTCCTTGGCATTCACAATGGTTCAGCGACTCACCAAGTTCAGAGACCGAATAACAGCAAACAACTAATCATACAAAGTTAACAATACCATAAATACACTCCAGATATGTAGATTGATTGATCCGAAGAGGTTTAGAAGGCCGGTTCGAAGAGTTCTCCGAGAAATTTCAGCCGAAAGTGCATTCCGATCCGGAGCTCTATTCGCCGTCCTCCATCGCAAGGATCGTAGACAAACAGATTCGCATTATCAATCTGCTGACCTTACTTACCCACACCACAGACACTCTGAGCACAAATATTCAATTAAAAACCCTTATGAAAACTCACCCATGATAAATGGAAAGAGAATAAAGAATCTTGTCTTTTTAACAGTCAAGTGGCAACACACCAGGAATACGTCTGCCTCATAGACCGGACCATAGAGAAGTGACGCATAAAAATACAGTCCCCAACTACGGCAATTGTTGTAAGAATCCTGCTCACGTATGCGGTGAAGTGGTCAGACAATTTATTTTAAATAGGCGTAGAAAATGTGTCCTAACGTGTAAATCGACACTAAAAGCCTAAAAGAGTAAATATCAAAGTGAATTATAGGGATTTTTCTTATCTGGACTCCCCCACAACAAACGAACTATATAACTACGGTCGGCCTAACCTATATCATAGTTACAATGACGATTTTCGGGGTGTTCAGACTGTGGACCTGTCCAAGGCGGTAGATGTGTGTATTCTGTCATGTCAGTATACATCAAAAGAGGAAATATTGCTGATAGTTTGGCTGGATCCGCTATCACTACCGACGGTCAGCCTATGGATCATGCTAAAATTATTAATGCCCTCAAAGAAATTGGAAGGATAGAGGACTTTGGGGGCAGTGAATCCACATCACTCGCCAGAATGACAGACTTGGGAATTAAGATCGGCATAGCAAAAAACGAGACGCACATGAGACACACCAGAAGACTTGTTAATCAACATATAGAACTGGTACTATTAGCCATCGGGCGTTGGGGTTCATACTGAGGGGAGGATCTGACCACCTATGGACATGTCCGGAGTGCAATGATGATAGCCAAACTAACTATCAAAAGAGGAAAGGGACTATAACACAATGTAGATCAAGAGAAAGAGGGAAAGATAGGATCAGAGATAAAAACTCTACAACAGCCCGATGTGTCTATGGTCGAGATAACAAGGCAAGCAGTGAAGCAGAACCTTATATCTCCCTCGTCACCCGAAGCAGTAGAAGAAGAAGTTAAGAAGATGAAGATGAAGAAGAAGAAGATGTTGGATAGTTTGAGTTTGACATCATGACATCTCTAGGGTATGTAGGATTATTAGGAAACGAACAAACATGTTGGCTTGTGCTGCACGAAAGGATGGTGAACTGAAGTGACCAAGGAATCTAGTCGACACCCTAAACTTAGAAGAAAGGCAAGTCGGACATATAATATTGCCACTCTAATATTGCCACTCTAATATTGCCATTCTAATATTGCCACTCTAATATTGCGTGGTCTCGAGACATGACGTCCGCTTCGAGTTCTGGAGGTTTCGGTTCAGGCCCCGGTGAAGGCTGTGATTTTCTCAGGTCGACTCCTAGTAATTTCCTCTGGTCTCAGGGTAGTGAGATTGGACGCCCGTGTGTATTGTCGCGGACGTAAAATATCCTTTGGCAACTGGAAATCGGAAAGAGCAGCCTGTCCGGATTAGAACTTGGAGTTAAAAATCTATCAAAAGTATTTCAGGATCCTCGCCGGTACTAAGAAGTTCGTGCACTGTGCTGAGATTTTTCAGACTCAGACTTGAGTCAGAAGTAGAACGGAGCACTTATGGGTTACCCCTTGTCTCATGATGTTGGCCAGTCGCCTAAACAACAACCAATATTGCCACTCTAATATTGCCACTCTAATATTGCCACTATAATTTGCTATTCTAATATTGCCACTATAATATTGCTATTCTAATATTGCTACTCTAATATTGCCACTCTAATATTGCCACTATAATATTGCTATTTTAATATTGCCACTCTAATATTGCCACTTCAATATAGCCACTATAATATTGCTAATCTAATACTGCCACTCTAATATTGCCACTCTAATATTGCCACTCTAATATTTCAGTTCTCCATATCTTGTAAAATTGTTGATACCAGCTCATTTCCAGTCGTATTTCATATTTAACACAATTGTTGAATTCATCCCGTTGAATATTCATCAGTTTTCTTAGACATTAAACTTACTGCATATCACTGTGTTGTTATTTCCAGACCTGTTGATACACCCAACTGTATATTTAACGTCTGGGAAACACTTCTTCTGGAGACAGAACTTGATGCACAGGTAGGTCAACTCCCTCTTACCCCCTTCCCATAATCTTCCTCTGAATTGGACTCTTAATTACTCACACAGGACACTGATGAAAAGTGAGGGGTCTGCGTGGTCTCGAGGCATGGTGTCCGCCTCGAGTGCTGGAGGTTCCGGTTCAATCCCCGGTAAGGGCTAGGATTTTTTTTTTCACGTGGACTTGGACTGCAATTTCCCCGGTCTCTTGGTTGTGAGATCGAAAGCCCGTGTGTATTGTTGCGCACGTAAAAAAAAAAAAAAATTCCTTGGCATTTGGAAATCTAAAAGAGTAGCCTAACGGCGCTTCCTGGGCAAAATTTGGAGTTAAAAATCTACCCAAAGTATTTCAGGATCCCCGCCGGTGCTACAGAGCCTGTGTACTGTGCTGAGCTTCTTCAGACTCGGTTGAGTTAGATGAAGAACGGGGAACTTATGAGTTACTAGTGCCATGATGTTGATCCTTTGTACAAAACCTCAAACCTGTCAGGTGAAAACTGCGATTTGAAATATCTTGCCGTGGCTGCTCTGATGGAGAACTGAGCGCTCACGGGAAATACCAGTGTCCGGTGACACTGATTGTGATCAAATATCACAACTCATTCACAAACACACCAGCAATTTATTTTAGGATCACATATCTCAAATAATTCACAAACACACCAGCAATTTTTTTCATGATCACATATCACAACTCATTCACAAACACACCAGCAATTTATTTCATGATCACATATCACAACTCATTCACAAACACATCAAGTAATTTATTTCTTTATTACTTCGACACACACAGACTGACTAGCACCTTTCCAGTTTTCCACCGAAAGTGTTAAATTACGCTGTAACGAGGCATGCAACTCACAACCCATGGCGATGGCGAGTGTGACTAGCAAGAGCCGACCGCGTTAAGAAAAGCCTTTCACAATTATAGTATGGAATTTCCCAACCGTTGTTGTCAGCATATGTTTTTGATGTGTTTCTTCTCATACTCCCAGCTATAATATTTTCTGCAATCAGTTCTTCCTTAATATAATTTCCTTCCTAACAACACCTACCTAATCCAGCCATGTATCCACATATCCAGGCACACATGGATGCAGCAGGACTGCTACTGACCACTGTCTACAGACCGCTGCAAGAAGTCGCCTCCCACAAGAACCAACAGGCCGACATGCTGATCTGTTTCAGGGAGAACATCGACTCGGTCATGAATCAGGCCTTGAGAGAGGTTACACAGGTAAGAGAGCTGGTCTCCGTGGCGCAGTGGTCAAGCCGTTTGCCTCGCGCTCTGAAGGTCTTGGGTTCGTTTCACGTCGTTCGGTTCTCGAGTGCAGTGTTACAGAGATCTTTCAGATTGTCGTCAGAGCTACTGAATTCGTGCTTTGAGCGTCTAGCTGCTCTTCCGAGAGAGACTGAGCTATATGGGATAGAACTAATCGAATGCAGTCGACCCTCTCGACTTTAGCCTTTTAACCTTTGACACAGGTAAAGTTAAGTTTTTTCTTTTTTTTCTTCTTCAAATATCCAGACACCACCAGTTAACCTTTCGGCTCGGTACTATGGATATCGCAACCGTTCGTTCTTGATTCCATGATAGATACCGTAAATCAGGAAGAATTTTGGCTTTTCTGCCTATCCCTTGGCGTGAACCCGGACCACAAGGAGTTCGTTACCCGGTCGCCCCGAAGTCAAGTTTAACCAACTACGCTAGCGAGCCTGTCTGGCAAGTCTAGTTTAAAATATATATCTAACTGTATAACTATCGCAAACATCTAAAAGTATATTGTATGTTTCCCCTAGACTTGATTTTACACATACACTACTTGGTATTATTATTCTTATTCTTATTGTTACAAAATGTATTCTTAAATGTTTTAGACCAAAGCAACACTTTATGTGTGAATAATTGCAAACTGATTAGAAAAAAGAAATGACTCCAACCGTTGATTTCTCTCCATAGCATATTGTGCTCTCTGACTTCTAAGATTTGGTCGGAGCATTTTTTCAGAAGTCTGGCTTTTCCAATGGTCACAACCAGTTGGATATAGCAACTTTAAAGGTGTGGTCGACGGAGCCTAAAATGCGTATCAGATAAAGTGCTCATAAATAAAGGCGACCGACGACGTAATATTAACCACAACACCTACCGATGCCGGTTGGTCTTATAAGAAGAAACTCCACCGGGGAGCATGAACTACAGGAGTCTACCAATCATCAGTAGAAGTAGCCTCTCGTCGACAAATGTTTCGGCCTACGAGCTCCTAGACATTTTCAGAGAGTGGGCCCACCTGAGTTCATAAGGCTCAGGGTTGATTTTCTCCTGCTGCACGTATTACCGGATGTTATCGGACAGGGACAAGACGAATTGTTGACTTTGTAAAAGTCACTGTGAAATACGAAGTCATTGCGGTAGCATAATTAGAGCAGTCAGCTTACCTGGACGACCAAGTGGCAAGCTTACGTTTGGTTTATCTGACACATGTTGGACTTTGTTGGCAGGTGGCAGAGGGACACTGGCAGACAATTTGGACACGATGGACTTTAAGGGATAAGACATTCTTTTCAACTAGATACCCTGACAAGCTCACCGAGGCTCGTCCCCCACGACGTTCCGTTGTGTCCAGAGCCAGCTCGAGGCCCTCTCAGCAGCCTCGCCCAGTTGTTTCAGTGCTCGTTTGCGTTCATTTCCTCATAAGCCTAGTTGTTTAATCACATTGTACATTGAAGTGGAAACGAGACCTCTTGCGCCTACCTCGACGGCGAAGATTCTTACTGTGTACACTTCGTCTCTCCTCAGACCAGCCGCTAAGTCACTGTACTTCTCGAGCTTGTACATGCGGCTTTCGTTCATTTGCGACTCTTACGGCCCAGCCCGGCGCGACCAGTCTTAAAATATAACTCAAATAGAACATGCTTAAGGGACTATTGGAGTGACATAAAGTCCTTTCCTAATAACGACCTTCTCATTGTGTGTATCATGGTCATAAATGTGGGTAGTGATGGTGCGGGTTGATAGGGAGAGGTGAAACAACACACAGCCTTTAAAAAAAAAAAACAAATGTGTCGTGAAAGGAAGCTAATTGGTTGGTTTACTTCGAAGGCGAAATGCGGCAACCTGAAAGGTGAAGAATTAACAGACTGCACACAAGTAAATCCGATCTGTCAAACAGATGGGCATGCAAAACTTAAGTTGCAGAACAAATAAAATGTTTACAAGTGGAGAAAGAGCCAGAACTTTCTGTTGGAGTTTACAAGCGATAAATTCTGGGAAGCAGAAGAAGAAGAAGAAGAAGAAGAAGAAAGAAAAAGAAGAAAAGAAGAAGAAGAAGAAGAAGAAGAAGAAGAAGAAGAAGAAGAAGAAGAAGAAGAAGAAGAAGAAGAAGAAGAAGAAGAAGAAGAAGAAGAAGAAGAAGAAGAAGAAGAAGAAGAAGAAGAAAGAAAGAAGAAGAAGAAGAAGAAGAAAGAAGAAGAAGAAGAAGAAGAAGAAGAAGAAGAAGAAGAAGAAGAAGAAGAAGAAGAAGAAAGAAAGAAGAAGAAGAAGAAGAAGAAGAAGAAGAAGAAGAAGAAGAAGAAGAAGAAGAAGAAGAAGAAGAAGAAGAAGAAGAAGAAGAAGAAGAAGAAGAAGAAGAAAAAAGAAGAAAAGAAGAAGAAGAAGAAGAAGAAGAAGAAGAAGAAGAAGAAGAAGAAGAAGAAGAAAGAAGAAGAAGAAGAAGAAGAAGAGAAGAAGAAGAAAGAAGAAAAGAGAGAAGAAGAAGAAGAAGAAGAAGAAGAAGAAAAAGAAGAAGAAAAAGAAGAAGAGAGAAGAGAAAAAAGAAAGAAGAAGAAGAAAGAAGAAGAAGAAGAAGAAAGAAGAAGAAGAAGAAGAAGAAGAAGAAGAAGAAGAAGAAGAAGAAGAAGAAGAAGAGAAGAAGAAGAGGAAGAAGAAGTAGAAGAAGAGGAGGAAGATGAAGAAGATGATGATGAAGAAGAAGAATAAGAAGAAGAAGAAGAAGATTGTTGACATGACACACAACAATAAAGCCACAAACATCAAACCAATTAGACTAAAATCAATCAGTCCAAAAAGAGCAATCTGGAAAATACCACAGCACAGCCAGATGACGTCATTTCGTCATGGTAGACGGACGGACATCCTTTCGACATGATAATTCTGAGAACAAAGCGAAATGTTCCTTTCGCACGCCATGTGAACCAGAGTTACCGCGTCCTGGCTACCAGAAATAGCAGCTGAAATAAAACAACCGGCTCACTGACACAGCACTTTAGAACTTGTAGTTGGGAAGGGTTTCCCGAACTATAAATTTTACTGATCTGCAGCTTTGGGAAAAGCTGAAAAAAATATGTATGTATCTAAAGTAATCATTCAGACGGTATACTTGATAACTTTTACAAAGAGACGTTACTTTGTAACAAGTACCAGCTTTCGAAAACAAGGTTGTGTTTCAAGTATCGATAAAAAAATCTCTTCAAATTCCTGCAGATATAACACAACAGACTTTACTGAAGGAATTACTTAACGGCAGTGACGAAAGAAAGTACACAGCATTGTGGAGCATTAAGCATATGGTGCCTGACCCATGATTTTTAAACTGCTCAGCATTCGATGTGAGATTTAGTCTTGCAGGTATCCTTTACCTCCTAGGAAATTTCCTTGTATGAATTTTAGGCTAGGTTGTCCTGAGAACACAGGGCAATTATTATATTACCTATCATGTTTGCTACATATATCCAGTTTTAACATAGGGCTGTGAATCCTGGACAATCGGTAGGCAGGCCAAACAATTTCTGGAGGCCTCAGAGATGTGGTTTTACAGAAGAATGCTTAGAATACCTTGGACAGCCAAAAAGAGCAACCAAGAGGTTTTGAAAAAAGCGGGATCCCGAAGACAACTTATCACAGACATCAGAAGGAGACAGTCATCCTTTTTCGGCCATGTTATGAGAAGAGGGAAAATAGAACATGTTGGGACCACTGGAAAGATCTGTGGAAGGAGGGATAGAGGAAGACAACAAGAGAAGGTGCTTGACAGTCTTGTTGCATGACATGCAGGTGTGTCGGCACACGAACTGATACATGCTGCAGGAGATCGTGTATTATGGAGAGGCATGATCGCCCACGGCAGTCCGCAAGGCACCTGATGATGATGATGATCCTGTTGCGGAATCTCATACATTTGGGTGACAGGCAAGCGTTTAGTGTCTCTCTCACTCATTGTCTCTGCATCATTGACACCCTCTTTTTTTAATCTCTTTTCTCATTATCTCTCTATCCTCCTCTACTTATCTCTCTGCTTTCTGTTTGAATTCCGGAGCCCCTAAGTTGGGTGGGTTTGGGGGAGGGATAATAATAGACCCACTGTCTCCCAAAGAAGCAGGTCGCAAGATTCAACCAATGACTTCTTTCTTTCAAAGTCTGAGTGCATCTGCAAGAGAAATAATGAACCCACAGTCTTTATAAAATTAAAGCATATATGTTAACCGGATGTGCACGCAAAACTCACGTTTTGGAACAAAACTAAAGTCCAGAAATGGATGAAAATCCAGAATTTTCCGCCGGAGTTTGTAGCTGGTGAACGCGAAGAAGGAGAAGACTCGTATTTATATCGCGATTTTTTCATTTAGTAGTTAGCGTTAGTTTTAGTTGGGTCATCATCATTGCACTCCGGATACACAGATCCTCCCATCAGTATAATCTATAAAATTGATTTATCTTAACGTGTCCGGTGTGCACCCTCGTACTGGCAGAGTCCCAAGTATCTGGTGAGTGATGTGGATTCACTGCCACCAAAACTCCTCTATCCTTTTTCTCTGAGAACTCGCCAGCATAATCCATGTTTTGACGCCTGCGTGTCCCCGGAACAAAAATAAAGGTGACTCCTCGCACAGTGGACTTCTGAATTGATTCAAGCCATTGTCTTCGCACTGAACCTGCCTGAACCCTCCGGATCATACTAGTGTATGATTCGATTTTTCATTGCAATACACAATCCACATTTAGCTATAAAATATTTATCTTAATGTTGCCACCCCTACAGGCAGAGTCCAAGTATCACAACTCCTTCCAAGAACTCGCCAGTGTTTTGGATAGCCCCACGACCGAGGGGGAGGAGGTCAGGAGCAAACTACACAAGTGCCACAATGATTATGTTTTGCAAATCCGAGCCACAAACCGGACAGTGGACGAGTTTAACCGAATCCTGCCTCAGATTTTAGAGGTGATTTATGTTAGAATCAATCGTGTCTGTCTCGCTCTCTCTTTCTTTCTCTTTAGGTATCCATATATATATATATATATATATATGTGTGTATAATATATATATATATATATATATATATATATATATATATTTGCCAGTTCTTCTTTATGGAGCAGAATGCTGGAGAATGACCAAAAAGGATGTACACAAGCTGTCCACCTTCCACCACACATGTCTACGTAGAATTTTCAAAATTTTTTGGCCAGATACAATCTCAGACACTAAACTACTTCAAGTGACAAACCAAGAAACTTTAGACAGTATGATAACCAAGAGAAGATGGAAATGGCTTGGCCACGTTATGAGAATGAATCCTGATATACCTGCCAAAACAGCTCTCACATAGATACCAGTGGGAAAGAGAAAATAGGGGCGCCCAAAAACAACATGGAGAAGAACGATGGAAAGTGACCTGAGTGCGGCATCTTTGACATGGAAAACTGCATTGAAGATTGCACAGGACAGGAAAGCATGGAAAGTCCTCTCTGAAGCCTCATGTGCCACTAGGTACAACGAGAACTAATGATGATATATATATATATATATATTTCACAAACACGCAATTACTCACTCATTGAGTTTCTCTCTCGCTCACTTACTCCTAACTTGCTCATGCACTCGCTTGCTCACTCATACTCACTCACTTACTAACTCACGCACTCTGTAACTGACTAAATTACTTGCTCGCTCACTCGTTCACTCACTCGTTCACTCACTCTCAGTCAGTCAGTCAGTCACTCACTTGCACTCAGTCAGTCAGTCATTCACTGACTCATTCACTCACTCAATCACTTTTTCACTTACATCACTCACTCATTAACTAATAAACTAACTCTCTCACTCACTCATACATAGCCACTTACTCACTCACGCACTCACTAACTTGCTCACGCATTCATACACATTTAGTCACTCATGCACTCACTCACTTGCTCACCTGCTCACACACTCGCTCATTCATGCACTAACTTGTTTGGTCACTCGCTCACTCACGCTGTCAATAACTCACTCACTCGCTTAATCGCTTACCTACTATCTCACCTATTCACTCCTTCCCTCAATTGCTCGCTTGCTCACTTACTCACTCACTATTTTACTCACTGACTTATTCACTCAACCACTCACTCTCTCGAATAAACAATATTCGGCGGAAGCAGCAGAAAGGCGATTCTGTAAAATAATTACAAGAACGCCATGAGAAGGTAAAAGAGTGTCAGGAAGTCTTAAAAGAAATCAACGAAACAATAGAACTGTTAACCCGCATATGAAGAAGAGGGTCTCCATTCCTTAGATACGACACGAAAAGGGACTATGTGCCGACAACACTTAAGTTGGAGGGAAGAAAACCAAGAGGAAAACCGGGAGACAATTTATTACACAACAAAGCATCCTGGCATTAAAAAGCATTTGTTTCAGAAATAACTTGCAGTGTGCATGATTTAATGACAGGACAGAATTGATGACGATGGCCAAGAGGCGTGGACGACAACAGTATTAAACAAACAAAGACAATCCTGTTAATGACCTATCAGTGACCATTGAATTCCGAATGGTCTAAACATTTAAAAGTCAAGCAGCCGTGAACCTTTGCGCCATTTATCTTTTACAAGTCTAATTTTTACTTTCTTTCGACCCTGCCATTAAGTAATTTCTAAACTCTCCTGTGTAACTCTCCGTCATATTCATTACAGGGCGTGCAGGCGTTGTTGGTAATGAAAGAGCTGACAGACTGGCGGGTGCTGCATTAATTAAAAATCTCTGGCCATGGATCATGCATACACTGTCATTGCCCTTAGAGAGATAGGACGTTTAGAGAATTTTGGAAGCAACGTGTCCACATCACTGCTACGAATACGCGAATTGGGAGTCCAGATCGGCACACCAGACGCACATGAAGTCTTGTTAACCAACATAGACTGACACTATTAACCACGCGACGCTGATGAATATGTTGAGAGGAGAATCTGAGCGCCTATGGATGTATCCGGAGTGATGTGAAAATAATCTAACTCATAACCAAAGTAATTTCTTTTGCTGTGTTACATTCCCAGGAACTTGAAGAAATCTATATCGATACTGGAAACACCATTAACGTTGCTATCGAAAGCCATGCCTTGGTGCTTGTTACAAAGGTAATGTCGTCTTTATAGTTGTGGTCTGTTACATCATCATCATCAGGTGCCTTGCCGACTGGCGTGGGCGATCATAATCTGCTATCTCCTGCAGTATGTATCAGTTCGTGTGCCGACACACCTCCATGCCATGCAACAAGACTGTCAAGCATTTCTCTCGTTGTCTTCCTCTATCTCTCCTTCCACATATCTTTCCAGTGGTCACAACATGTTCTATTTTCCCTCTTCTCATAACATGGCCGAAAAATGATGACTGTCTCCTTCTGATGTCTGTGATAAGTTGTCTTCGGGCTCCCGCCTCTTTCAAAACCTCTTGGCTGCTCTTTTTGGCTGTCTAAGGTATTCTAAACATTCTTCTGTAAAACCTAGTTACATAGTCTACCTAATTACAATTATGTACCGTTTTGTTTCTCCAAACTTCTTTTTTCTGCTTCTTTTTTCTTCTGCTGGAATGCCTCTCTGCATCTGGACAGGAAGAGATCTCTGGAAAGGGCCTTTATGTTCCTTTCGTATAAAGTACTTTTCAGCGTCTCTGATATGTCTGCGGTCCACCAACTTCTGCGTGGTCGACCTCTGGCTCAGTTATCGTTGTATCTGTATAACATTGCTCTCTATTATTACAGAAGTTGCAGACAGGTAAAAGTTTCTAGTCCGCTTCATTGTAGGATTGAATCGTGGTTGTATGAAGCGAGTGAAAGAATGTAAATGTCTGTGAGCTATGTTCCTAGAGGTCAGGAAAAAACAAACACCATCGGGATATGGAGTCAATCAATCAATCGATCAGATGCCGTCTTCACAATGAAGTTTGGCAGCTTTGGATTTCCAAAACACTCTTGTCTCTTGTCTTGGCTGTACATTTCTTCAGACTGTTGTTCGTCCATTTCTTGATGTTATCCTCCCATTTGTATGGTTATCTACCTCTTCTTATCTTGCCCTCGACCTTTTCCCCCAGTACAGTTTCTAAAAAGTGATTCCCATGCACAATGCTGGCAGTACTTCAGCCTGTATACTCTTTTCAAGAAAACCAGCTTTGACAAATGCAGCCTTAAATTTGTTAATTGTACCACCAAAAGTTCTACAGGTAATATGTTTGCTGATAATGTCTCCAGGTAGTACTAAGTCCTTTTGGACGCCAGAAATAGTTGCCCCAGTATCTCTTAAGACTAAAACTGCCTTGCCATCCGTGTCGTCATGGATTGGTTAGGCATGTTGCTTCGGCTGGTAAGGTGAAATAATCCTGTGCTCAATTCAGGCTTGATTCACTTCATGCACTTTAACCTCCAGCAAGACTAAATGGAAATAAGACTAGACTATCTCTGACTGACTGACTTTCTACCCCACCAGAACATCATTCAAGCGATAAACACCCGATGACACAATGTGCCACCATGTGGATGAGGATCACCGTGGAGAGGTCCCAGAAACCGCGTTCAGCCTTTAGGCCACATTTATGGCCAGGCTATATTGCGGCCCCTGGCAAGAGCCAGGGTAGGGCTTCAAATAACCAAAAATTTCATCGTAAAAAGGACGGAAAGTGATGCTTTATTCAGCAGCGTATATAGACTATCTCAGTATCCTGTGGCTTAAATAGCCTCCCCCCTTCCTTCTAGAATGTTCTCACGCATTTCTCACACTGTTCGCCCTTCACGGCATTTGGCCACCTACGCACAATTCATGCTTACCTCGTACAATTCATGCTTACCTCGTAAAATGCATGCTTAACTTGTATAATTAATACTTAACTCATAAGATTCAAGCATTATGTCGTAAAATTCGTGCTTACCTCGTAAAATTCATGCTTACCTCGTAAAATTCGTGCTTACCTCGTACAATTCGTGCTTACCTCGACTTGCCACTCAGTCTGTTTACTGATACCTTATTCTTAAGACCACGCATTCAGATAGTTTATGAAAATGAGATACACAGGAGAAAATGACTCATTAAAAGTATTATCTTTTAATGTGGCCAAAATATCTAAATTGTCTATTTAATTTTTTTTTATCAATTCTCGTTTCAAGTAACGATTGCAGGCTCAAATAGAGCGTAACTGGGCTTTCATTTATGTTGCTGACCTTTCACACGGGCTAGTCTAAGTTAGAGGGAAGTCACGTTGTGTTCTGTTATGTATATATTGGGCGTCCTGTGAGCGACCAGGTACTTTTACTCCTTGCGTAAATTCTGGCGTTCTCCGATTTCAAGTACCACATGAATTTACTTCAGGCGTCAACGCTGACGAGCGACAAGTAAGGCCAACTGCGAAAAGTAAACAGTTCTGAAAGCACGGGACGTAGGCTGAGGCTGTGTGGTGGGAGGAAAGGGAGGGGGGGGGGGGTTAGGGCCAGAACTAGATCTTCTGGGATCGTTAAAAGCGGTCACATCATGTAATATAGAGCAGATGCTGTCGCTGGTGAAAGCTTTGAAGACAATACAACTTGACACTTCTTTAATGGGGAGTCGCGCATGTGAAAGGTCAGGAAGCATGAATGAAAGGCCAGTCACTATGTGCCCGGAATCATTAGTTGTACCCAGTTCTTTTTTCACTCGCAGTCTTCTAGAACGTCTGTATTTGATTGTTTTTGTTGATTTCCAACATGTCCTGTGTGTTTACCGCTCATTGTGCGGTCCTGGTGGCGTTAAATGTCACTCACTCACTCCACTCTTCAATCCGCATTGACCACAGACGCATTGTGCTGTAGAATTACACTTCTGTTGTTTTGCAGTCCTAATCTTATCAGATTCGCTAACAATTTGAAATAGTCCTTTGCTAGCATCTTTTTGAACCGGTTTCCTTTGCAGGCCAGTGAGCAGCACAGACGGTACGAGGACCAGCTGAGAACTTGCAAGTTGGTCAGTCCTCACCAGGACGTGACCTTTTTCGTCAAGGCAGCAGGAGGAGATAATTCAGCTACATTTGTCCTTCCACATCACGCATTCAAATCTGCCGTGTCGCAGTCCAGTAACAAGGTGGGTGTTGTATCAACTACTACTACTGTTCTTTATCTCCAGCTGGAGCATAAGCACTCAGCCAGCTCACGCCGTCATCATATCCTTTGCCATCGCGTACAGCTAACCCCATATCCGCCTCATCGTTTTAACCTTCACTCTCTAATTCCCTTTGTCATGTGTTTTGTGGTGTCTTCGCCTGTGGACTTTTAGACCTACGTTTAGTGATTGCTCAACAAGTAATGTTTAATCTAACTTGCATTTGAACTAAATAAGACGAACTCCTCATTCTTTCAGTACCAGACATTGCCCTAAAACATGCTCTAACCCGAAGTCATGATCCTCTAGTTCTAGAGGAGGACTCTTCAGCGAAGTACCTGGGAACCAACATGTTTTAAATGGGTCTCGTCACGGGACACCCACCCGGGTCCCAGCGTAGGAAGATCGTTAATGCAGTAGTTGCGTGCAGTCTGCAGTTAGATAAAGTTTAAATAGTTTCCTATTATATGTATTAACCACGGTGGAAATTGTGGGGGCGGGGGTGGGGGCCACATACATACGAACACACACATACACCTCACACTCACTTTTTCACTCACATCACTCACTCACACACTCACTCGCTCACTCACTCACTGCTCACTCACTCTCTCATTCACCCACCCACTTACTCATCCACCCACTCACAAACTCACTCACTTACACACACACACTCACCTACCCACCCACCCACTCACTCACTCACTCACTCACTCACTCACTCACTCACTCACTCACTCACTCACTCACTCACTCACTCACTCACTCACTCACTCACTCACTCACTCACTCACTCACTCACTCACTCACTCACTCACTCACTCACTCACTCACTCACTCACTCACTCACTCACTCACTCACTCACTCAGTCAGTCAGTCAGTCATTCATTCACACACACTCACACTCATTCACTCACTCACTAACGAAGTCATTGACACACCACACACACACACACACGCAAACCCACACACACACCCTACTCACGCAAACAGAATCAATCAGACGTTTTAGCAGAAGCGATTGTCTTACAATGAGTTAACTTTCTGATATCAGCTTGACTGCATTCAGTCAGCCCTTTTGTCATCACTGTCGGACCGTGTTACCTGAAGCGTTCCCTGGACAAGACTGGGGCCTCACAACATATTTTCCCCAGACAACAGTGCACGTAAATAGGAATTGCAAAGTAAAGGTCCCTTTTCCACTCTTTCGGGTACATTGGGCATATAGGGTTAGACGTGTATTTTATAGACCAATCGGTACTAGGTGGTTGAGTTGGTTAACCTAAAGACACCTGGCCGCCTTTACTTTCCAGGACTTTACCTGGTACCCATTGACCTGGATCGACCTGGGAGTCAAGGTTAATTATGAAAAAAGAAATCAGACTTCGCCAGGATCTTAACCCATGACTTTTAGATCTATAGGAGAGCGCCTAGCCGCCACACCACGGTTGCTCAAATAGCAACTACAGCCAGTCTTTGTTGTTCACGACACATTCACTTTACGACGATATCACCCACAGAGTGGTCTCTCAAGTATAGGTCTAGCCCTATATGCCCAATGTTGTATTGAGAATTGACATTTCATCACTGTGGACACCCCCATAGGCGCTCTGTCGCCACCTTCAGCAGCAAACTAAGAGTTCCTTTTCCGATTGCACCAATAACTGTCTGATTGTATATCTACTCGCCTTTCCCTTGAGTTTTGGGAGAAATTTGGTATGCCCCCAAAACACCTGAAGGCGGGAAAGGGTCCTATACTTTACTTTTACGTTCATTTTCAACTAGACATATTGAAAAGAGCTCATGATTCCTCTCTTGTCTTGCAGGTGTACCTGTGTAATCAAATTATATATGACAGTCTGACAGAAGACACCATTCGGAAGAAACGATCAGAACTACAGATACAAGGAATGGATGTGGCAATCGCCATGAAACAGTCTCAAGATGTGATCACCACACTCAGCAATATCTGTCAAAGGTGAGTCACGAGAGATATGATTATACTTGTATATCAGACCAAACAAAAAGCAGAACCAGTCAGCTTAACATTATTACAAATACAAAGGACAAGAGAACGTTGCGGCTAGGGGGACATCATCAGCAGATTACATGAATATACAATACTACAAATAAAATTCTAATGCAACGGGTGGGGTGGGGGGGGGGGGGGTTGAATCTGCGTCAAAGTTAATGTCTTTTTTTTTTTAAACTGACCCAGTAGCGTATCGAGAACTTAATTTTAAAAAAAAAATTAAAAGTAAAGTAAAGATCCTTTTTTACACCTTTAGACGCAATGCGCATATGGGAAGAGCATCAATACTTTTACAGACCATCTGGCACTAGGTGGGTGATGTGGTCAGCTTTACTTCCCTGGAGCTTACATCCTGGTACCCATTTTAGGCTGGGTCGACCTGCGACGCCCCATGCCATTATAAAAAAATCCACTTAGCCAGCAGTAGGTTTTGACCGCAATACGTTGATTGCTCGTTGATGAGCAATACGTGAACGCATAAGCCACAGACGTCGTCGAAACTTAACGGAAGACTCGTATTTTTTTTTTTCATAATCAGTCAGCACTGTGGTCAATATCACGCAAAGTAAATTTCCTGGTGCTGATTTTAGGAAACTTGGAGCCAAAATTATCTTTTTTCCCCTCAATTTCACGCAGTGTCGATTTAAACCAAATTCTTTCGGTTTGTCAGGCAAACAAAATTTCGTCCTTTTTAGGACGAAATTTTTTGTCATTTGAAGCCCTTCTCTGGCTTTTGCCAGGGGCCGCAATATAGGCAGGCCATAAATTTGGCCAAATCTCTGAACGCGGTTTCTGGGACCTCTCCACGGCGATCCTCATCCACATGGTGGCACATTGTGTCATCGGGTGTTTATCGCTTGTGTGATGTCCTGGTGGGGTAGAAATTCAGTTCAGTTCAGGCAAACAGTAAATGTTACTGCTCCTTTTCACTTTTGAGCCTTGAATATTAAATGTTGAATTAGGAATCGACATCACAGCACTCAGGACACTCCCATAAGCGCACCGTCCCCATCTTCAGCAGCCAGCGAAGAGTTTTGAGCCATAAATATTATTTAAGTAATGTTTTTTTCAAAGGGACGCTATGCTCTGCAAAACCAAGAAGCACAGTTTTGGCGAGTTACGTCCTTTATTTTAGATGTATTGGTTTGGTAAATATAGGGCGTATATGCAAAACCTTTTTGTAGGATTGCCATTTGTATAGCGAGTTAGGAATTACATATTAATACATTGCACCTATGGTAAACTTCTTAATATATTGGTTTAATCAGACACTCGCTAGAAAAATTGAAAAGAAAATGGGGTAGGATGAGCGGAGAGCTGCATGCGATAGCGAAGCATAGAAAGACTTGGCGTGAGTTGGTGAGAGCCTATGCCCCATTGAGGATAGAAAGACAGAGAAAGAAGAAGATCCCAGTGTCACACCCCACGCACCGTTCCCTTCAGACATTGATGATATATTCGTTCCTCCCGTTAAATTAACTTGAACAAAATCGGAGACCTGAACGCGAAAAATACAATTAAGAAAATAGGACAGTTATTCTAGGCAACATGACAGTTACACTAGGCAACATGACAGTTATCCTAGGCAACACAACAGTTATGCTAGGCAACATGACAGTTATGCTAGGCAACACAACAGTTATGCTAGGCAACATGACAGTTATCCTAGGCAACACAACAGTTATGCTAGGCAACATGACGGTTATACTATGCAACATGACTGTTATGCTTGGCAACATGACAATTATACTAGGCATCATGACAGTTATTCTAGGCAACATGACGGTTATACTAGGCAACATGACGGTTATCCTAGGCAACACAACAGTTATGCTAGGCAACATGTCGGTTATACTATGCAACACAACAGTTATGCTAGGCAACATGACAGTTATCCTAGACAACACAACAGTTATGCTAGGCAACATGACAGTTATACTATGCAACATGACAGTTATCCTAGGCAACATGACAGTTATACTATGCAACATGACAGTTATCCTAGGCAACACAACAGTTATGCTAGGCAACATGACAGTTATCCTAAGCAACACAACAGTTATGCTAGGCAACATGACGGTTATACTATGCAACATGACGGTTATGCTGGGCAATATGACAGGCATACTAGGCAACATGACGGTTATGCTAGGCAACATGACGGTTATGCTAGGCAACATGACGGTTATGTTAGGCAACATGACTGTATTATTAGGCAACATGACGGTTATGATAGGCAACATGACAGTTATGCTAGACAACATGACGGTTATGTTATTCAACAAGACTGTATTATTAGGCAACATGACGGTTATGCTAGGCAACATGACGGTTATGTTAGGCAACATGACTGTATTATTAGGCAACATGACGGTTATGATAGGCAACATGACGGTTATGATAGACAACATGACGGTTATGTTAGGCAACATGACTATATTATTAG